CCGGGGGGTGGGCGGTGGGCCACAGGCACCAGAGGTGGGAGCTGGCCTCTGAGCCCGCCCGTGACAGCGTGAGGGAAACGGGCGTGCTTCTGGCCATGTCCTTAACCTGCCTCCAGTTCTGTGTGCCACCTCAAAGCCCCCTGCAGTACAGAGGCCAGCCCCAGCCCATTTCTTGGTGCAGGGTGCTGCCAGGAAGAGAAGAGGCTGCTGTGTCATGGGTGCTATCTGCATGGCACGGCATGCCTGGGGGCCTGCCTCGTGGGCGTGTCCTGGGCCCCAGGCAGCTCCAGCTCAGTGGCCCTGAGAGGGAGAGGCTGCGGCAGCTCTGAATGGGGCTGGAAGGAGGTAGGCCTACCTTATGCCAGGTGTCCTGAATGACGCCGGCCTTCTCAGACAGGATCTCGATGAGCCGCTGGGCCTCACCCTCGCTAAACGCCATGCTGCCGAGCGTAGAGATCAGAGTCTTGTAGGGGAGGTAGAGAGGGCCGTCGGAATCTGGGGGCCCTGTGCGGAGAGAGGGAAGGAGCACAGACTCATTCTCATGCCCAAAAGGGCAGACGCAGCAACACAGCCCACTACTCCCAGCAGGAGGAGGTTCTGGAAGAGGCAAGAACTCGGTGGGACCATGAGGGACCAGCAGAGCACCCTGGAGGCCTCATGCTCTTCCAGGACACAGAAACTGGCTGAATGATGGGCCCTGGATGATCCTTCCAACCTGCCCAAGGCCCATCCTTGGCTGGAAGTAACATCCCTTCTCATAAAGTGTTTTTTACAATCCTCCTGCCTCGGCCCCCCCAGGCGGCTGGGACTGGAGGCATGTGCCATCTCGCAGGCTCTTTTCTTTCTTCTCGGACACGACCTCACTGTGTTGCCCAGACCAGCCTTGAGCTCGCCATCCTCCTGCCTCAGCCTCCCGAGCTGCTTGGATAACAGGTGCACACACTGTCTCAGCCTTTGGTTGTGTCGGGAATTAAGCCTGAGCTCCCATGCGGCCCCAGCACATGGAACACAGCGTCCTGGCAGCACTCCCCCGTGGCGGGGCCGTCCCTGATTTTTTATCACGATCCTGAGCTGAAGTAAGCAAGGCCTTTGCATACTTGTCGCCCTTCTTTTTCCAGCAAATGCCTTGTTCCGATTCTTGCCCTGCACAACTCAGCAAGTTTCCCCCACTTGGCCACCACCAAGCTGAGTGAGCCGTGGGTGCAGACAGAGCAGCAAAGCCACCCTCTCCTGCCAGCACACACGTGCACACACACATCCCCAGAGCCATGAGAGAAGGCTGGGAGAAGGGCAAGGTGCTTCCCGTACAACTGGGTTCAAACACTATTTCCAGCTCTCACTGGAGGGTGTAAGCAGAGGGAAGGCTGAGCTGGGTTCTTCTAAAGCAGGCCTGTTCTCTCACCAGTCCTCAAATAAGACTGGAGGACCCGGGGTCACGTGCCAACAACCAAGGGTCACTTCTGAAGAATCCACCCTGCCCGCCCCCACACAGGTTTCGCTCTGGCCGTGGCTCTCACGCAGTCCTGAAGACAAGGGAGTGGCCTGAAGTACCTTACCTGAAACTCGGGCAATTCCTGTGCTGGGGGCCACACCTGCCCTACAGCGAACGGCACAGCCCACCATGAGCAAAATAGAGACGACCAGACCAGCCTCAGGGGCACTTTTGGCTTAGCCCACCTCCTGCCAACTAGTCAGGAAGGTTTCCATAGCAACCCTGAATTCTCTGGCTTGTCACAATATTTTCACTTAGTACTTACAATATTTTCATTACAAGTCAAAGCACTTGGCATGATACCTTAATAAAGGGATGTGGGTGGGCTGGCTGCTCTGAGCACCTTTATTCTGTCACTCACCTTGGTGACGCACGAGAGATTAAAAATAAGCACGTGGACATTAAAGGCCTAAGAGCTCACCGGTGCCACGAAAGTGGGTACTAGGGGAAGGGCACACCCCTTCAGCTTTTTCCGTTTCATCAGAATATGTATCTGTAGGTAGGATCATTTCAATGGTCAACTTCCATGTGCTAGAGAAGAATCTGGAAACAGCTAAGCCAAAAGGACATGTAAGGCCCTCACAAGCTCACTCAGGAGGAACTTCTCACTGTCTGCATCTAGGCCTCCAGGCTGCACTTCCCCAACAGTCCATGACCACGCTCACTGCTAATACTTTCCAGGAGGGGAGACCATGTGCTCAGAGACACTGCTGGAGGCACGGGCTGGTGGGCAGCTTCCTCGGCTCGTGGTCAGTGACCAGCTACATAGGCATCTACCCTCTGACTCAGCATGGTCCGCCCCTGCATCACCAACACACGGGCCACCAGCCATCTGTAGCTGCTGAACACTGAGACATGGCTAGTGTGATGGTGCTACATGTGGGAAGCATACAAGAGATTTTTAAAGACTTGGTATGAAAAAATGAGAAGTTTTTTGATGATAGCACAGAAGTAATATAACTGGACCCACGTGGGAAGGCCTTGGGTGTGCATCCCAGGCCTCCCTGTACATAATGGGAGGGGAACCCATGATCTGTGCTGGCTGAGGCTGGGGGTGGATTGTGGCATGAGGACTCCTCTGTGATGGCTGAGGTTGGGGGTAGATTATAGCAGGAGGACTCCTCTGTGATGACTGAGGTTGAGGATAGATTATAGCATGAGGACTCCTCTCTGTGTTGGCTGGGGCTGGGAGTGGATTGTGGCATGAGGACTCTTCTGTGATGACTGAGGTTGAGGATAGATTATAGCATGAGGACTCCTCTCTGTGTTGGCTGGGGCTGGGGGTGGATTGTGGCATGAGGATTCCTCTCTTTTTTATGAAAGAAATAAACTTGAAAAAGTTATATATTGGGACACCTGGCGGCATTGTAGTTAAGGTGGTTGCATCCCACATGGCCAACTGTGAGTCTGAGAACCTGACCTGGAGGCCTGAAAAATACACCGGGCATGTGTACATGAGTGTCCACAATCCCAAGAGGAGAATGGAGAAGGGACTGTGCTGTGGCCACCCATGATTTCTCACTTTCTCTCTCCATCTCTGTCTCTCTGTGGCAAGCATATATGCCCTATTGCAAAACTTCAAAAAATTAAAATTATATATTGGTCAGCCCATGATTTGGTGGTTGGTGGGAGTGGGGAGTGCTGGATCCCACACAATCAAGTCCTAGACCCAGCAGCTGGAAAAACATGCCAGGTGCATGTGCATGTGTGTGCATGTCCATAATCTCCAAAGGAGGGAGAAGGGCAGGAGAAGGGACTGTGGTGTGACCATTCCCCAGGAGGTGCTTTCTTCTATTCTTTTTTTACTGTCTGACTCAGGCAAGCCTAAATGCACTCTGAAAAAATTAAAAAAAAAAATTATATAGCAACTGCATGAAATAATACTATTTTGAATAAACTGGGTTAAATAAAACATTAAAATTCATTGTTTCTTGTTTGCTTTCTTTTATTTTTATCTTATTCACGGTGGAGAATGTGATCAGCGCAGAGTGGAGTGAGGGGAGGAAGCAGAACCCTCACAACATTCCTGTCATACTGTGATCCTGACCCCCTGTCCTAGCCCTCCAGCTCTCCAAGATCTTGGGTGCATGTGCAACTGCTGGCATGTTTTCAAGCCACCCCGGGCCCTGAGCCTGTAGTGGCCATGTGGCCTCCAGCACTAGAGCTCTGCCTG